CCTTGGTCAGTGCAGCACTACTTCTAAGGATTTTTCTTCTACTGCTACTACTACTACTACTACTACTGCTACTACTACTACTACTACTACTACTACTACTACTACTACTGCTACTACTACTGCTACCACCACTACTACTACAAACCTCAGCTGTTGACGGCCTTGGGCTACAGGTAGCGGGCGAGTTTTCGGAGAGCTCCTATGCGGTGCTTGCAGAGTTCCTTCGCCCCGACCTCGCGAAGGAAGTTTCGGAGGATCTCGAGGCTGTCGATGCTGCAGATGCCGGGTGTTCATCTTAGGGAAGATAGGCGGTTTTGAGGGTTTCGGAGTTCAATTATACGGGTTTTGAGGTTAGTTGAGGTTCTCAGAGTCTCCGTAGGAATTATGATTTGTTGTATTTTTGTTGTAGCATGCGCTTTGGGGAGTTTAAAGCATCGCTTTCTTTATGGATCCAACGGGGGCTCATTGTAAGAACACTGCCAGACTTGTTTTTGTTACTCGTTATCCCTGGGACGGTAACTTTTCAATCAAGACTCTAAACCCTATAACCCTAAATCGTGGCCCGTAACAAGAGCCCAGGACGGCTTCGAGCCAGATGCAGAGGAAACTGTACCAAAGTACGACACCGGGCTGTGCGACGGCTGGGAATTAGTTGGTCCACCGCACTTACGCCGTTTTCTGCGCTATGGTGGATGCCAAGAGGGCTCCAAAGAGGCCACCGCTAGGGGTCTAGGGTTCAGGGTTTAGGTTTTAGGGAGTTAGGGTCTTTCTGTTCAGGCTTTGGCAGTTTTGGGTTTAGTTTCGGGCTTCACTGTTTAAAGTTCAGGGTGGGGATTCGGGTTTCGCATCTTAGCAGAGTTATAAGGTTTTTTATAGGGCTTAAGGGTTCGAGTGTCTGAACCAGAGGCAGCTGCTTAGGGTTTCAGGTTCTAGGCTTTCGGGTTTAGCGTTTTAGCGTTTAGGATTCAGGGTTTAGGGTTTAGGGTTTAATCCCCTATAAACCTTAATTTCGATTCTCCAAAAGCCAGAGGCGACTCCGCATGCGAGGCTTGGGAAGACGATGGCATCGTTGGCCGAGGACTCGGCCGTGTTCATCTTACAACTTTGCACACAGGGTTTAGGGATGGTGGGGTTTAGGGATGGTGGGGTTTAAGATTTAGGGTTTAGGGTGTAGGGATTAATTATCGGGTTTAAGATTTAGGGCGTTTTTGGATCCAGCAACCACTAGGGGTTGAGGGTCTAGGGGATTGTCTCACTGTGGTGTATACATCCGAGGGGTATGACCGGGCAGCTACCTAGAAAACCGTTCGACGAAGTTAGAGCCTACATATCCTCCGAGACCGGTCAGAGACGTGGGGAGGTGGCGTTTGAAACTCTACAGACAATAGACCGTTGAAACTGACACTCCGCGCAATGCCCATGCTAGATCCTTGGAGCATTGCAACTGGAGCCAATCCCGATCCCTGACCCACTCCGCTAGCCCGAAGCTCCTTGAAACTAAGCCTTAAACCCTGAACCCTATAAACCCTAAACCCTATACCCCTAGAAACCCTATAAATCCTATAAACCCTATAAACCTATACACTTTGTAAGCCCTGAAGCCAAATCCGATCCCAAACCTTACCAGCCTGAACTCAAACATGTAGAGCCTCAACCCCGGAGTCTTTCCGTGAACACAAGAGACCTAATACAGGGGCCTAATAATTACCAATACTGTACTATTTTTTTTTGGGGGGGGGGACGGGTTCCTCAAAATATTTATTCCATGAATATACACCAAAACCCTATGCTAATTTTTGAGGCCCTTTATATTCCGTTCTGATGGGGTCTTATGATGAACCCCGTACGTAAGCCTTTGAAGAGCTGATGCAGGGGTCGGAACACTTGCCAGTACTTGCTGCCCCATTGCCCTCCGTCTGCACCGCTAGGCCTCATCATATTTGGCAAGGTCAGTTTTGAGTCCGCCTCCATCTGCAGCCGTTCTGCTTGCATTTGGCAGTTGGCTAGTCCGTCGTCTGTGAACCAAAGCCAAGCTTCATCCTTCTTGGCCCCATGCATATCCTCGTCGCGATGCTCCTGTTACCCGGCTGCTCAGCGCTGCGTGACCGCAAGAGCCCAGACAATGACAGTCGCGAAGCCATCTCTTGGCCAACCCTCGCGGAGATGCAGGAGAAGATGGTAAAGAAGCCGCATCCTGAGGGGCGTCCGCACTGGGTCACCAAAAGGGAGCTCTCGGACGAATCGATTGACTACGTCAAGACGGCGGTTTGGGCATGCTACAACGTTGATGCCTCTAAAATGGCATCATGCATCACTTGGCAGATGGACATGGATTACAACCACACGCTTCCCCAACAGAAGTGGGAAGCGGTCTTGGGAAGAATGGTCGACAGAGTGGACAATGAGTATTTCGGCCCTCCTGTGAAAGCTCGACTTAAGTGGGGTGACCTCAGCATCCTCGTCTTTGCCTACTACAGCTAGAGCTGTTTTGCAGAAGCAGCAGAAAAAGAGGGTCATCCGCCACATGGTCGGCTCCTTCTTCCCCCATCACAGGAACCACAATGCTTGACAGGTTGTGGAAGACGTCCCCCCTTATTACCACTATACCGACATACACGCCCTAGCCTTGTTCTTCTCCCTACTTTTGGTGCCTTGCGGGGTGCAAACCCTACGCCTTATCCCGAAAACTCCTTTTCCTGAACTCCCACCAAGAACCCTACACTGCTGAAGCCCTGAAGCCTCAAACTCCTCAAGCTTTTAAAGCCCCGTAATCCCTATACCCTAAACCCTAAACCATTACACTAAAAAAAAATCTCTCAAAAAAAAACTAAACTCCTATGTCATCCCTTCAAGAGGAGCTCTTTGCCTCCGACAGCTTCCTTCGATGGCTTCGGGCCTGCACGGGCTTAGACCCTCGAAGTCGAGGAAGACCACAAGTGGCTGGGCTTAAGGTCTATAGGGCTTATAGGGTTTAGGGTTAGGGGTTTTTAGAGGGGTTTAGAGGGTGTAGGGATAGCGGTTTTATATAGGGCTTATAGGGTTTAGGGTTAGGGGTTGTAAAGGGGTTTAGAGAGTTAAGGTTTAGGGTTTTGGTTTAGGGTTTCGGGTTAGGGCTTTTATATAGGGGTTTCGAGGGTATAGGGCTCCTTAAAGGGATCTCTGCGGGTCGGCTTAGGATTCCGATCCCGAAGCCTGGATTTCAGAACAAGCCCAAGGGCGCCTTTCTTTGTTGCTTAAGGCTTAAAGGTCTAGAGATAGCTATCTATATATTTACACACATGCACATACATATACATATACATATACCTATACCTATACATACACATATCTATCTATCTATCTATCTATCTATCTATCTATCTATCTATCTATATATAGAGAGAGAGGGTGTAAGAGTCAAGCCCAAAGCGCAAAGAAGGCTCGTGCACGCTAGGCCAAGGCCTTATACGCCCTAAACCCGAAAGTACCCAAGCCAGGTTTAGGGTTTCAGGGTTAGGGTTTGGGGTTTAGGCGCTTTGTTCTGGAAGTAAACGAATACCCTGGAGCATCTTAAAGACCATTGACATAGTTGTCGGACGAATTACTGTAGTATTGGTATTCCCTTATTCGTCCCTAATCCCCTATTCTGCTTTGGCGATAATGTACCCCAACACCCGAGTCTGTGATCATTAAGGTCCCCATGAATGAACCCAGGTGAGACGTTTCCGCCCTGGTATGGACTACACTGTCGCGGCCAAAGCAGCCGGCCAGGAAGAAGAGGTTGGGGAAGCCCCTTCATACTTGAAGTAGGGCTTTTGGTGTCTATTGCAGAGTATAGGTATATAGGGATAATACAGGGATACGATTAAGAATGATTCGCCCTTTTATGGGGCTTTACAGGGGTTTTTATTCGGGTCTCAATAAGATTCTACAGGGATTTCTGGTTTAGTGATTCTGGCCCATGGCAAGCGGCTTTAGGCTCCCATTCGTTGGTTGACGGTGCAGGGTTTAGGGTTTAGGGTGTACGAGCTCACGGGTGATTCATGTGTTGAGGTGTTCTTCTGGGTTAGGGCCCTGAGGGCTTCGCATTTTTAGAGTATCACCCCACAGCATGTTTGTCGCTTACGCTTTGGATTCTAGATTGGAAACCCTAAACCTTAAATCCTGAACCCGAAACGTAATGGTGTCGACCGGATGTCGACCGGACGACCGGGCCGCGGAAGGGCCAACATATCTACAATGAGGAGTATGAGCAAAGCCCTAAACCCTACAGTCCTACTGTGGACACTAGTCACTGTTGGGATCTGCTTTCCGGTGTAGCGTTTGCAGATCAGGGTGTTATGTTTTCAGGATTTAATGGTTTAGGGTTTATAGGGTTTATGTGACATGTTTCGGATGGTTGTCCCCGCATGTATGCTACCTGAGCAGCTCCGCCGTAAAGATCCGTTTCCCAAGCTTTTCGCCATCACCGATACTCCTTACTTCATGCAGTTTGAAAATTAGTACCCGCCTAAACCTGACACCTAACTCTAAACTCTTCTTCAACGTGAAGCCCTAGACCGTGTTCCTCACTCACGAAGATGCAGAAAGGAAGTGGCTCGAATCTGGATCGAAACGAACAATGTTTGGTGGTTGCAGCTTTACCACGAAGACCCTTAAACGCCTTAGATAAGGTACCCCTAGTCTACTACCCCCTGCAAACCTTACGAAAAAACCGTTGAAGAGTCCTACACAGACCTGGGTAAAACTCTTCTGGGACCCCCTACTCCCTAAACCACTAATCCCTGATTTCAGGCCGCCGAGCTCGATGCCATCCTAACCTTCGCGCTTGGCGACAGCAGCTGTGAGAAGAGTCAGGCCACATGTGGGTTTAGGGTTTCGGGTGTAGGGTCAGGGCGTATAACCCCTAAACCCTAAACCCTAATATGTGGGTGAGGGGGAGGGGCCCAAGCCCTAAACGTTGAAGAACCCTTAACACCCTTATAAGACCCTCTCAAACCCTGACTCAAAACCAGCTTTATGAAGATCCCTATATAACCCCTAGAGAACAAGTCCCTCTAAAGGCTCCTAAGCCCTAAACCCTAAAGCCTAAACCTTAAACCCCAAACCCTAAACCCTCAAGCCTAAACTCCAAACCCTAATGCCTAAAGCCTAAACCCCAAACCATAGGCCGCCCGCGCCAGGCGGCGGCCGGTACCACTGAACGCT